CCTAGCACTTCTGTGCACACCCACATCACCTCACAGCCAGCCAGATGTACCTGTGGTACCTGCTGGCCCCCATGACCTCTTCTCAGGTTTCAGGTGCCCTGCTGCGCTCAACCGCGCGGGCTCTGGGCCTTTTATCGAGTCACTCCTCCTTCACCTCCCAGGCTCCCTTAGGAACCCCTTCCCTGGTGTCCGGGTTTGGGGGAATATCTGTAGCCTCAGCACAAACCACTTTCTGGGATCCAGGAAAGAGGGGCTGGTTGTTGAGCGTAGGGAGCAAAGCCAAAGTGCCCCTGGGTTTGGGTGGCCGAGGACACGCAGGACAGGGTGAGTGGACTTCCCTGGACCTGGAGGCTCAGAAGGATGGGGAGGAGGGGGGTCCCCGCGGCGACCGGCAGGGGCGGAGGGGAGGCGCGCGGCCCCAGCCCGTCCCTTTCAGGGGGGACTCATGCATCAAACTTCAATTTTCCGGACGATTGAATTAGTGATTTTTTTTCTCCTGAACTAAAATACACTTAAGTCTTTGGGATTAATTACCACGTTCTGGTCCCTCAGACTGGAGTATTACTTATCGGAGCTGCGTCTGACACCGGCCCGACACCTCGTAAAATAAGGAACTGCGCCTCCCGGCCTCACCCGGCGCCTCACGCCCGGCCGGGCCGGGGGAAGGCGGAGCGGGGAAAGCCGAGGCAGCCGGCTCGCGCGGCGGGGCCCGGTCCGGGAGAGCAGAGCCCGCCCGCGTGCTGGAACTCGGGAAGCCGGGCCCAGGCCCCGGACCGAACAGGGAAGGAAGAGGCAGAGCCAGGCCGCTTCCCCTGCGCGGCCGGGAACCGAAAGTGGGTCTGCGGAGAGGCCAGGGTCCTCGGGGAACCTGCCCCGTCACGGCCCCAGGCGGTGAAGGACCTCTGGCCACAGGGCGGGCGGCACAGAGGGTCCTGAGTCTTAACGAGCGAAGCCCCGAGAATGGGCGCAGGGCCCCGAGCCCCTCAGGCCACCGCGCCACGCTCACATGTACACTCACACGCGGGGAATGCCACGCAACGCGCGCGGCCCGCGCCCTCGCAGCGCTCGCAGCCGGTGCGCACCGCACAGCGGCCGCCCCCAGGCCCAGGGCCGCGCTGGGATTCGAGGCCCTCTCACATCGCAGGTCCCCGCGGCAGCGCCCGAATCGCGGCCAAGGCCACCGAAGCGCTCCCGTCAGAGCCAGGACAGCTGACGAGACAGTGGGTCGGAGCCCAGGCCTCCCTGACTCGCAGCCCCTCGCTCCCGCCTACGGTCGACCCCTCGGCCCCGGCCCACGGCCACCGCCTCCCTGCGCGAGGGGGCCGGGAAACCACCCCATGCCGCCGGGCTCGGTCGGACGGAATCTGCCCCAAACGGCTCCGGAAGCCCACTGGCAGCCCCGCGGAGGCTTCTCATCCAGCAGAGCCGGGGAGTCCGATGGGCTGGGGGAGGGGGAGCTTGAATTCGCTCCCCAAACTGCGCTGGATGCCACGCGCGGCGCGCTCTCCTCAGGCCTCCTTGGCTCGCCTCAGCCCCGGGCTCGGTCGAAGCCTGTCTCCGCTTCCCTCCGACGACCGTCCGACCCTTCCTTCGCCCGCCCTTCTTTCTGACCTATAGAAACAACGGATCCCTTCTCATCTTTCAAGGCCCGGGTCCAACGCCACCTCCTCCGTGAAGCCCCCACCACCCCGAGGCCGGAGCCGGCCCTCGGAGTTTTGCAAATGCACTTCCCTGCCCCTCGGCCCAGCCCTCCTGATGTCGCCAGGGGGTGTGCAACGGGTCCCGTCCTCTAGACTGGGAGCTCCTTGAAGGCAGGGACCGGATCCGATTCGTTTCCATTTCCCCAGCCCCCAGCGCGGCCTGGCGCAGAAAAGACGCACAATAAGCATTTGCTGAATGGAGAGGATTTTCCCCTTTATTTTATTAATCCTTCCCCTTCCTTCTTTCCCTCTTTCTTTTCCTCCTTCCTTCCTCCCTCGTTATTTTTTATTTCTTGGTTATATTCAATTGTCATGTTTTTCAGGCTCATTAAATCCATTTAGAGACAAAAGAATAAAAGGCAGAAGGGGAAGGAGGGGGAGGAGGGAAGGGGGAGGGGAGGGGAGGGGAGGCCGGAGAAGCAAACAAATAACCCGCTTTAACTAGACGGGCGGATAAATGGCCCCGTTTCTCCTCAGCCCCGATGCGCCTGCTTAGCTGCGCGCCCCGCGGGCGCCGCAGCTCGGGTGGGCTCAGCCCCGGGGCCGCCGCCCCCAGCCCGGAGGGACCCAGCAGGGCCCGGCCCGGGGCCGCGAGGCAGCGAGCGGCCTGAGGTGCCAGGGCCGCTTCATTGGGATTCATGGGCGTGTTGGGCGGGCGGCCCCGGGCTCCGGGCGCGGGGCGGGGGCCGGGCGGGGGCGGGGGTGCGCGCGGCGGGCGCAGATGCCCGGGTGACCGCCGCGCCGCGGTCCCCGCGCCGCCTTTGTGCCGGGGAGGCGCGCGCGGGGACCTAATCCATCAAATTGTCTACAAATTGTGAAGAAAATTCAAAAACCATATGGTCGCCAGCGCCGGCGCGCTCTGGGCTGCGGAGGGCCGCGGCCGCGCCCGCACCCGGAGCCGCGGGGGGCTGGGCCCGGCTATTGTCGCCTGTCAGCGGCCGCCCGGGTCCATTCGTCCCGGCCTTCATGGTCCGCGCTCCGAATTACAGACCCATCCATCCTGAGAGAGGGCGATTTATGTCGCCCGGGAGGAACCGGCCGCACGCCCGCCTGGCTGCCCCGCTGCCTCTTTCCTTCTTTCCTTCTCTCCTCTCTCTCTTTCCCGTTCCCTTCCCATTCCCTTTTTCTCCGTCTCTGGCTCTCCGTCTCTGGCTCCGTGGGAAGCTTTTCCTCTTTCTCCTCCCCCATCCACCGCCTTCTCTGTGGCTCTCCACTTTCTCTGCTTTTGGAGTGGCTTTCTGTGCTCCTTTTTCTGTTTCTCTCTGTCTTAGTTTCCTCCTGGACATGCACGTTCCCGACTCAGGCCCTGGGGCCCCATTGCCTGCCCGAGACCAGATGCGCCTTTCTCACATCAATTTTGCGGAGAAAGAGAGCCGCGCGGCCCGGAGGCGGGACCCTCCTTTGGTGACAGCGGCCACTCGCCAGCCCAGCGACAACAAAAGCCCAGAGAGAAACCCGCTCTGTCCGGAAAAGTGAAAGCCGCCTGCATCCCTGCCCCAGCCGCCCTCGCCCTCCGGGCGCGGGGACCCCAGAGAGCCCTGGGGAGATTGATGTCTCTGCCCCCAGTCAAGTTCAGGGCCCCAGAATTTGTGAATGTTACCAGAAATTCACCCCAACTCTCAGACGCTTCGGGCTCACATCTCCCTGGGCCTGTGTGCGCAATTCAGCTTGCCCTTGGTGCCTTCAGCCTCATTTTCCTCCCTCCCGCAAGGGTAAAGCCCTCTGGCGCCGGAACCCAAACTTGGAGCCCTCAGGCTGAACCCTGATGCCAACCGAGCTCTACCTGCGGTACACCGGCTGCCTAGCGCGCCCGGCAGAGCGGGGGAAGAATGCCCTGGGGTGGGGGTGGGATGCACCAACCACAGGGCAAGTACCCCACCCGTCCACCCTTTACCCCCCAGAAATTAATTTTCCATCCTTGGTGCCCCCGATGTGTGCACTTCCTCCCAGCAATGCACGCCTCACTTTTTACCCCGACCTGGCGAAGCCCGCTTCTCTCGCCCCCACCCTCAATTTGGTAGCTGCCGCGTGTTTGCGGACAAGAGGCACTTTCGCCTCTGGCTTTCCTCTGGCCCCTCATTCTCGCTCCTGCCCTGAAACTCCTCCAAATCTGCAAGGCCCAGGCAGCCGGCAATGAACAGCGGCGAGACACGGAGCCTGCCTCGGCTTCTCTGAACAGGGCCCACTCATTCAGACACGGTCACCGCCGGTTCTAGTAAAATGGCAAAGACTTTATTTATCGGAGAAAGAGGCCTTGGGTACAGTCCGGAGAGGAGAGGGCAGGGCAGGAGCAGGGGAGGGGCACGCAGGACCCACCCTCATATCGAGTCACCCTTGTTTGGCCAAGTCGAGCTAGGAGCAGGGCGTTGGAGACTGCAAGACAGACCCAGAGCTGCGGAGGAGGTGGGGGCGAGGGCTAAGGTTGGCCTCCTCTTAGTCTCTGTCACATGCAAAAATTTTCTAGAAAGAGTAAAAAATAATTCTAGGGCTTTGGGTTCTGTTTTAGTTGGTTGGTTGGTTGGTTGGATTTCCCCGTTTTGTCCCTAAGACCCGGACCCCAGCAGTCAATCCAAGGAAACCAGAGAGAGGAAGGGAGGAATCTTAAAAACAGCGTTAGTGGGCTGGGGGGGGGGGGGCAGAAACGGCTTCGAAAACGGACTTCTGGAGACGTGGGTGGGGGTAGAGAAAAGATCGATTTGAAACTTGCAAGTCAGGACCTGGCTGTCCCCCTCAGCCCCTTCCCACGCGAGGAAAAGGGGCAGATGGAAATAAAAGAAGTCAACTGCAATAGGCCTAGGGAGGCGAGGAGGAAGAGGGCCAGTGCATTCGCCACATGCAGAGAAAAATCAAAACAGTCGGGGCGGGCCCGCTCCTCGGACCGCGGGTTAAGTGTTCGTTAGTTACCCTCGATACTGCCTCGCCCACAGCAAACCCGGCAGCCTGAGAGCTTTGAAAACACTGAAATCTCCGAGATTTTAAAAAATAAAAGAAAGAAAAACAAGTCAGGCTGAGGTGGGAAGAACCCGCTATATCGGTTTAAATATTTATACAGGAGCCATACAGAATTGCTCGGCGAGGGCTCCCGGGGCGGCGGAGGCCGCGCGCGGCGGCCGGCCCGGCCGGCCAGCCCGGGTTTATTGCTTCGAGAGGGAGGAGGCGGCTGCCGGGAGCGGAGTCCGGGCCAGGGACAGGGAAGAAGGCGGGAGGTGCAGAGGAGGACCCAGCTCCCCTCGGCGGTCCGGGAGACGGCGGGTGTACGGGCGCTAGGGGCCCGGCGCAGTGGAAGATCCCGGGCGCCGCTCAATCGTCCACGTCGATCTCTTCGTCTTCCTCGTCCTCTGAGCAGTCCTGGCTGCTGGCCGGCTGGTCCGTGAGCGGGGAGGCGGGCGAGAGCTGCAGGGGCCCGGCGCCCGGGGCCTGCGGGGCGCCTGGAGGGAGCGCCGGAGAGCCAGGCCTCGACTTGGCCCTGCCGCAGCCGCCGCCGCCGCCGCCGCCCGCGGCCTCCGAGTTCTGCTCGAGTTCGGCCAGCGCCACGATGTCCATCTGCCCGCTGGGGCCCAGTTTCTTGGCGGACTCCACGTCGGCCTTCATCTCCTCCAGGTCCCGCTTGAGCTTGGCGCGCCGATTCTGGAACCAGGTGATGACCTGAGCGTTGGTGAGGCCCAGCTGCTGCGCGATTTGGTCGCGATCGGCGGGGGACAGGTACTTCTGGTAGAGGAAGCGCTTCTCCAACTCGTAGATCTGGTGGTTGGTGAAGGCTGTTCGAGACTTTCGCCGCTTCTTAGGGGTCTGTCGCTGCCCAAAGATGGTCATCCCGTCTCGGCCTGCGAGGAAACCATAATGTAGACTTGCACCCGGAGAGAGGAGACCACACCCCGGCTGGCGCTCACCCCACCCAGGCCCTATCAGCCTGAAGTCTGCTGCGGTTCCCTTTTCGGATTTGATTCGGCCTCCCCGACTAGGGCAAGATTCGCCTATGGCAGGCAAGCCTTCTTCCCCCGACTCTTGTCTACCAGAAGTCTCTAGGAAAACATTGTTTTAATCTCTGTTCCTCACCTAAGAGTTGATTTGAAAGATTCGAGGTCGCTAGAGCACAGCGGAGCCAGACAGGGACGCCCTGACCGCCGTGTGAACTACACCTTTTACCAATCGCCCCGACTCTATCCCTGCCGGAAAGATCCTAGCTGAAAGGCTCTCCATTGCCCAACCCAGGAACAGGGCAAGGAGCGCCCAGGTCGCTGGGAACGGGAGGGAGCCAAGCAGAGCAGGCAAACTGCGAGAGATCTTGGGTTTCCTGCCACCCCTCCCGGGTCACTCGACTCTGGCCTATCCAGAGGCCCCTAGGAAATTGGGTTTGGGTCCTGTCCCACTCCTTTCCACTCCCAGCGGCGGCGGCTTGGGCTGGAGGGCCCTGACGGCAGGCGCAGGAGGAGGCGGGCAGAGGAACAGGGCACAAAGCCTGGGGCACAGGGAGCCGGGCGTGGGGTGCTGGGCGCAAGGGAACCCAGCGGCGGCGCCTACCTTCAGCTGCCTGCAGGACGCTGACCTCCAGCCCCTTAAAGGTCTTGCTGGCGAGCTCCTCCAGCGCGCACAGCGGCGAGGTCTGCGAGAGCAGCGCGCGGCCCGCCAGGGGCAAGCCGCCCGGCGCGTGCTTGTCCGCCGCCGCCAGCAGGTGCGCCGCCCCGCACAGCGAGTAACTTCTCCGCACAGACGGCTTGTTGAGGATGTCCTCGATGCTGAACGGAGTCAGCGGCTTGTTGGAGTTGGCCGGCGGCGGCAGGTGATCCAGCGGGCTGCGCCGCCGCTCTTCCCCCGGCGCCGCCTTGCCGTCCTCCTTGGAAGTCATCTCGGCCTCGCTTGGGGGCCCGGCCGGGGCGGCTCGGGCCGCGGGGACCCAGCCCGTGGGCAGCTCGCGCGCCGGGCGGCGCGGGTGGGCGGCAGCGGCGGGCAGGAAGGAGGCCGCGCCGGGCCAGGCGCGGGGCCAGGCGCGGGGCCGATTAGCGCAGCGGCAGAGGCGAGCAGAGCCGCACGGGGCCCCGGGAGGAGGGCGCTGACGCGGGCGCCGCCGCCACCGGGGCTTCCAGCAATCCGCGGCCCAAGCCGGGGCGCGCCGCGCGGGGCTCCAGTTTCGCCAGCCCCGGTGCTATTTAAAGGTGTCAGGTGGCTCCGCGGCGGCTCCTGGCCCCGGGTCCTGGCGGCGGCAGTTGGAAAAGCCGAGGCGGGGGCGCCGATCCCGTACTGCGAGGGGAGGCGGAGAGATGGGGCAATTGACTATTGCTAACAAGTTAGCCTTGATCGAGGAGTAATCAATTATCTGCAGCGGCACTTCTCTATTTCTCTTTCCTTTCTCCCTTTCTCCTTTCTCCTCTTTCTCTCTGTTCTCTCTCCTATTCTCTCTCCCTCCCTCCCTCCCTCTCTTCTCTTTTCTCTGCTCCCCACCCGTCTCTCCTTCTCTCCCTCTCCCTCGCTCTCTCTTTCACTCTCTGTCTGTCCAATGCAGGCGGCTCTAAGTTGGGAAGCTCATTAATTAGCGGGCCGGGGGTAGGAGGAGCCGGCTGGAATTAGCCTGCCTAATGCGCCTGTCAGTCCGGGCGCTGCGCCGCGCTCGGCCCGAGCTGTTTGTAAATTACATTAGCCGCGCCTTTATTGCACCCGAACCTCGGGCGACTCAAACGCCGCCGCCCCCACCCCAAACTGCGAGCCTCGCTCCCGGCGCACCCGCCTCCCGCCGGTCTGGCTGCGATGGCAGCACTGGCCCGGAGGTCTCAGGCTCTCCGACCCGGGATCTGGCGCCCGAGAAGGGCGGCGTGAGCCCAGCCGGAGAGGGACGCGGCCGCCACGCGGGCCAGGTAAGACCAGGAGCCTGGATGGGCCCCGCCGCCGCCCAGTGCGGACTTTGCCGAGCTGAGATCAAGGACCCAGTGTCCCTACCCCTCGACCCTCTTGTCCTTAACCCCCCACCCCCACCCCGGCCTTGGGCCATGCGCCTGGGGAGAGGGAGTCCGCAGCTTCCAGGCTGGCCCGCGGGAGGTTCGCGAGGGTACTGCAGCCCTGGATGAGGCGACACGGGACAGGGCTGGAGGACCCCAGGGGCTGGGGGAGGGGGCCAGTCAGAGGACTCAGTCTTCACCAGCCAGGAGCCGACGGGGAGTTGCTGGTGGCTCCAGGCACCTCTTCCCCGGTCTGAGGCAGAAGCTACAGCCTTACCTCTTCCTGCAATCTTGCACACTCTTTCCTCGGGCTACGGCTCTTCCGGTCGGCTAGGGCCACGGCCCGCCCGGTGACCGGCGCCCGCCCGGGCAGCCGGGCGGGTTGCCTGGGCTAACGGGGCCGGCTCGGGGCCTCCCCGCTGCGCTCTGCCCAGGCCCCGGCCGGGGCCCCGCTGCCGGCCCCGCCCAGCCCAGTGCCCGGCTCGAGTACACCGCCCAACTCCAGCTGTTCCGGATGCGGGGCGGGGGGCCGGAGGGGGCCGGGCCACGGCTGGGACTGCGCTCCCAGGAGCCCGAAGGGAAGCCGGGTTCGAGTCAGACTGGGGGCTGGGAATCCTACGGCCGGCGGGACTCTGTGTATAGCGGGCGAGCATTTGTGCACAGCGGTATTCGAATGTGTTTACGTTTTTGAATATGTACATTTGTGTGGGGTTCAAAATGTGGTATATTTGTGTAAACATATGTAACCTGTGGGTACTTATGTGTGTTTGAACCCTATGTCTTTCATTCCCCAGGGGCACCCACAGGGGCTGTACCCCCAGGCTCTTTTTACTCTCGCTTCTCTCCTCTGGTTTCTATGGGGCCGTTGGCCCCACCACCTTGATTTTCCATGTCTGCCCCTGAAGAAAGGAGGGGAGCAAGCGGGAATTAGAGCCAAGAGAGATGTTTCCCTCCCCACATTGAGTCTCAACCCTTTTCCTGGCTTTGTTTGTAAACTCCTGGGCAGACAGTGTGGTCCAGCAGCCCTGCTTAGTCAAGAGAAGGGCCAGAGAGGCCGGTGCAGAGGACTGTGGCCCAGCCTAGAGGTTAGGATGGGAAGAATAGGACCTTCTGGGCTTCTCGGACCTCCTCCCATACTGCCCCAGAGAGGAAGTGAGCCAAGCTGGGCTGTGGGGCAGGGGACAGGTTCTCTCCCTGGATGCCTCCAGCCTGGAGGTCTCTGCACATCAGAGATTGGTTTCTTTATCTCCCGTTTAGTTATTTGTTTAGAACAAGGCTTGCAGCTCCCTAGAGTAAAAGGGACCCTGTAGGGAGAAAAGATTCCTGTTTGGGACCCCAGTGCCTGCCCTGGCCCTGCTTGGGAGTATTGGGAAGAGCTGTTTACCCTCTTTCCCATCTTTTCCCTGCATTTGTGGGGAGGACAGGTGCTCGGAGGCAGGAGTGGTGAGAATGGGATCCGCAGGTCCCCCAGAGCTGCAGAATTGTCCTCAAGGCAGGCCCGTCTCTAGCGCATCAGCACTGTTCTGGAACCATGAGGTGATACTGGGCCTAGCAACAGCGGAGTTAGAGTTGAGAGAGGTGGAAAGGATCCTGAGCGAGAAGGTGGCCGGGAGCCTGACGAACTCTGCAGGCCTGGAAGCTTAGGGACCTGGAGGGGTCAGCACTCCCCTCTCACTTCCTGCTCTTTGGGTCCTGCCTCAGCCTCTGGTCCCTCAGCCCTTTCCTGACATAACCCCAAAAGCCCTGACCCAGAGCCTCGGGGAAGCCACATCTCCCATGCGTGTGAGAGAGGAGGCCCCTCCAGATCAAAGAACAGGGACTCTTGAGTCCCTATCTGGAGAGGGGCTCCATCACCAACCCGCCCCCCCACCCCACCGCCACCCTTCCTTCCGTCTGCACCTGATATTGTCTGCACGACAGGATCTTAAGGGCAACCTTGCTGCTGTCCCTTGCCCAGTCCCCCAGGAACAGCGGAGTTCAGTGTTACCACAAGCTGCCGGGCTGCCAGGAAGGTGAGGAATGTGAATTGGGGAGCAGAGGGGCAGGAGCGTAGAATTCCTTCAATGGAGCCCTGTTTCCAGAGATCTTCAGTCTTCGGCCACATCATGTCAAAGTGGACAGGACATTCCACAATCGTCCGCTATTACCTCTTACACCCACTGTAGCCAAACCTCTTTTTCCTGTGGCCCAATCCAGAGGCTTTGGTTTTAGTCTAATTGGTTGAACACCCAACAAAACAGCTTCAGCAGGCACAGCGCGGGGGGGGGGGGGGTTCAGGGGGCCGTGGTGCCACCCACTCATCTTGTTGTTTGGGGCCCCCTACTTCCATCGCCTCATCCAGGCTGTGTTCGAAAACCAGGCCAACTGTCCCACTGACATTTTTGCAACCTTCCTGTTTCCCCCACTCCAGACCCCAGTGCGTGGGCTGCTAGGATCTTCTGAACTCCTGGAAACCCAAACTACTGACTTCCCATAGCCCTCTGGCAGATCAGAGAGCTGTACCTTGGGTTTGCAGTCAGACTCACTCCCTCTCCCTCTAGATGAGGAGACCCTTGAGGGCAGAGACCTTGATCTGGGGGTTCCATCCACGCCAGGCCTGCGCAGGTGGGCGGGCACCTGGTGCCCTCCCCGCACTGGTTCAATGAGTTGTTTTTTGTTTTTTGTTTTGAGCAAACGGAGTATAAATGATTATGTGTTGTGGAGGGGGAAGGCTTGGGCCTTGAAGTTCCCTCCTCAGAGGAGTTCTGGAGGTGGGGAAAATTAGGGGAGTAATTCAGGGTGGGGGGAGAGGGAGGGGGATAGGGACTCTGCCACTGCTCTCTACCTCGAGCTATCCTGCCCACCCCCTTTCCTGGGATCCAAGGCTGAGTTGGGTCCCCCACCCCCAGGTAGCTGAGCCAGTGACATCTCCCGTGAAGCTGGAGGCAATTGGTCTCTGGAGTCTGGTGCCCAGAGGGAATGCCGTCTTCAGAGCCTGGTCTATACTGTATCCTGACTCCCCAATTCCTGCTTGCTGTCTATACTGCCAGGATCCAGCCTTATTCTACCTTCAGTGGAAGGGGAAGGGATTAGTCTAGCAAAAATCTGCTTTCCCCCTAGTTTAGTGAATATTTCAGACAAAGAGGAGGGAGAGAGCATTGCATGAATTGCCAGGATCAGGGGGACCCTGTAGACTTAGACAAAATGAGTTATTCCTTAGCACAAGAGAATAATTCAGGTAGACCCCCAAACATTCCATCGGCTTTAATCCAGATTGTTTTGGTAGCCCCATTTATTTCCAGATTATTTGTGTAAGCACCAGCAATGGCCCTTAGGCCAGAGCTCCCCTTAGAAAAAAAAGGTTCTGACACTGCTTGAAATGAGTTAACGTGACCACCAATTGGGATCATTTTTGTCCCCCAGGGACCTGCTCCTCTGACACTCTTTGTGGAATTCAGAGAGTGTTTCTTCTGCTATTGAAGTAGACTCCGATAGATGGCCTCCTGTCTCCCTGGCTGAACCAGGACTGCCCACTTGGTTTTTATATTCTGCCCTGGGCCACCGTCAGCAGTAACAACAACAACAATAACCATGACAATAAACACCATAAGCGCTTACTGTGTACCTGGCTTCAGGCTAGGGGTTTTATTCATTCATTTATTACTCACAACCCTATGAGGTAATAGCTATTGCTATTACCCCAATTTTATATATAAGGAAAATGAGTCCCAGAGAAGTTAAGTAACCCGCCCGAAGTCACACAGCCTGTTCTGGAGTAATTAGGATTTGAAGATTGGTTTTTTGAACTCTTATTGTAATCCCAGAACCATGGAGCTTTAACCAGCGACCCCACCCCCCCCCACGACCCTGGGGTTGGGGGGAGGCTGTTTGAATGGGCTTCAGGGGCTCTGCAGATCCCAGAAACTCTGTGTAAAAT